GATAAATACAAATAATATCTATACAATATCAACTAATAGCCTCCCTTAGTTGGAGCAGGAGGAGGACGGATGCTTAAACTGGATCTAAAATCCACGAACAGTTGGTGAGGCAACCCTTTAGTGAAAATATCGGCGAACTATAGGCGGATGGAACATGAAGAACTCGAACATGACTGAGAGCCACCTTGTCTTTAACAAAATGAATGTTCATCTCGATATGTTTGGTACATTGATGTTGAACATGGTTGCCCAAAAGATAGACCGCTGAAATATTTGTTACAATACATCAATGTAGCGGTCTTAAGAAGAGTATGTATCTCAAGAAGAAAATTACGCAACCAACAAGCCTCAATAATAACATTTGCCACACATCGATACTCCACTTCAGTTTTGGAGCGAGAAAGAGTTGGTGGGTGCTTAGTAGACCAAGAGATCAAATTGTCTCCTAAAAAGACACAATATCCTGAAGTGGATTGACATGTTTCTGGATAGCTAACCCAATCGACATCTGTATAGACAATGAGTTGAGAAGGTGTTAATCTGTTGAAGTGTAAACCAAGATTTGGAGTGCCTTTCAAATATCATACGATCCCTTTTAAAGCATTCAAATGTGGTTCTCGGGGTGCATGCATGAACAAACAAATTTGTTGAACAACATAGGCGATATCGGTCCGAATGAAAGTTAAGTAATGAAGGGCACTAGCCAACTATCAATAGGCTGATGCATCTTGAATGGGATCATCGTCGGTTAAGCTGGGTTTTGAATTGGTATTAGCGGGTGTAGCAATGGGTTTGAAATTCTCCATTTTAGCCCTTTTGAAGATTTCAGTAGTATTTTTCTATTGAGATAGGAACACACCACCCGATGAGTAACTAACAAAAATGCCCAAGAAATATGTGAGTTTGCCAAGATCATTCATATCAAATCCTGTCTTGAGTGAAGATATGCTTTCAGCTTTGACTTGAGGAGAAGCTATAAGAATGATATTGTCGACATAGACAAGCAGATAAGCATGTTGGTTGTTTCGACGGAAGGTACACAGAGAATTGTCACTCTTGCTACAAACAAATCTGATGCTAAGAAGATATTGAGCAAACCTTTAGTACCAAGTCCATGGGGCTTGTTTCAAACCATATAGTGATTTGCGTAACTTGCAAACATAAGTGGGTCAAGAAAATTTTCCACGTCCTGATGGTTGGTGCATGTACACGTTTTTTTACTTGATATTACATATTACAATCAAGTTTAACAAAAACCTACACAACAAAACCATGACACATATATATATTATTTCAACATAAAATAGACAAGCATGAAGAAAATATATGCTTATCAGGTACAACTTCAATTTGGTCACTTCGTCCTCCATTTTACCAAACAATGAAGTTTGTTCATTGATTTCAATAATCCTAGAATTATGTCTTTTGCTCGTTTACACATATGTGGAGCCAAGAAACCCATATGTAGAATCCTTTAAATAAATTAAGAAAAACTTCAAAAAGATGTGAACCGACAAAAAAAACTCAAAAATACAAGCTAAAAAATAATACATACCAGTTTAGGGTAACACCATGATTGCCTCCCAGGGTTGCGATGGGTCCATAAAGTATGCATGATCGCCACTTTACCAAAATAACAAATCATCATTGTCGATTGTTTTTTAGTTCAGTTGAAAGGGATAGAGATGAAAGGGATGTTTGATCTTCAATCCTTTATAGATATAATACATTGCAAAAATGGACTATATGTTTTCCAACCTAAAAATATGAAAATGACCTCATGTGGGGAGCACATATGAGATATAACGGGCATAAGCAAGACAACAGTTAACTTGAGGACCTAAATCATAAAACAAATAAATAAATATAAATATAAAAAAACACATTTTGGACCATTGGTGTGAGTAGAAGAAAAAAGTAGATTAATCATAGAGGTCTTTGTAAACCTTAGGTACCATTGGACCATTTTAATTTGTAATTTACTTTAAGTAGAATTCATTCATATCTGTATTATATCGATAGATATAACAAAAATGGAAACAATTAGTATATAGATATATAGGCATTAAAAACATAAATTGGAATCTAAATGTTAGAATTATAAATACAATTTTGCCATGATATATATCATGCTTCATAGCCTTTATCATGTGTCACTATCACGTATGATGAATATAAATTCACTACATATGCCATCCGTTTTTATCTCAAATGTTAATGTTATTCATAATGTATTAAACTTAGAGCATGCATAATGGGGATTTTAATGGAAGAGTTGAATGAAGTGTCATGCCTACTTGTCATTCAATGGATACAACTCTACCATTGTGAAATGTCACATTGGCATTCAATGGATTTAGAGTTCAATGGTCATTGAACTCTTCAATGGGAAAAAGGAAAGTCTTTAAATCTTTAAATAAATATTTTTTTAATATGTTTCATTGAACTTGTAGAGTTTAATGATTGTGGGATAAAAATGAATAGAGTTGTATTGAATAGTGAATAATGATGTGGCACTCCATTGAACTTTATAGAGTTCAATGCATTGTGGATGCCCTTATTAGAGTTTAATAGATTGACACATCATCATTTTACTTACTATACAACTCTACATTAATTTTCATATAATGCATTGAACTCAATAAAGTTCAACGGAATATATATTTAATAGTTAAAAGGTTTTCTTTTTTCCATTGAAAAGTTCAATAACCATTTAATTCTATATTCATTGAATGCCAATATGATATCCCATTATAAATTTAATCCATTAAATGTCGATTAGATATGTCACCTCATTAAACTAGAGGTGGCAAAAATTGACACGACACGAAACCCGATACGAAATAAACAGGTTTGGGTAAGATATTTCAATCCGTTTAAATAAACGGGTTGACACGACACAACACGAAAATTAAACGGGTAAGGTTAGTGTTGAGAATTTCAACTCGAATATGACTCGAAAACGACCCGTTTATTTATATGCAAGTTTTTTGAATTATTTAAATAAACTAGAGATATTCAAAACCAAAACCATAAGTAAAAGAAAACCTTAAAATTGAGTCGTTTTGTAATGTTAAAATGATTTGGTCATCTAGATCAAGACTTAATTTCAATTTTTCCATTCTTTCCCAAACTACCCAGTCTCTTTCATCACTCTCACATCCTCACGACCTTGTCATCCGCATCCCCAACTCCTACTCTTTTAATTTTGTCATCTGAACTTGCTATGAATTTATCTATTCTGCCTCCAAACTATTAGGTTTTCCCTTCTGCCTACCCAACTCCTACTCTTTCAGCATGCTCAATCTTCTAACCTCACATGACACGAAATATTTCAAGGTATAGCCCTAACCCGAAACTTGACACGAACTCGATACGAAAATAAACAGGTTGACACGACACGACACGTTAATTAAATGGGTTGGGTTAGGGTCAAGCTCTTTCTACCCATTTAGTTTTTCGACACGATACGAACCCGACACGACACAACACGATTGCCACCTCTACATTAAACTATGCATTGTAGATGCTCTTAGAAAGAAACCGAACGTGAATATCATACTAGAGATATCAACGAAAAGACAAAAAGATGCCAAACAATACTAATTAAATGAAAATATAAAAAGAAATACACGCGAACCGTCTATATCTATAATTAATGAGGCCTTTTTTTGCAAAATTAAAGATCGGTTTATGATAATTGTTGAAATTTGGTTATTTTTTTTATAAATGAAAACTAGGTTATAGCCATAGAAACCACAGTTATAAAAATAATTAAAATTTTATAGTAAAATTCGTAATTATTAATCAATTATTAAACATGATTTATACTATTTTCAATATAGAAATACAATTAATTATCGACAATTATAACTGAAACTTATTCAAGATGAATTTAAATTTCCCCCAAAAATCAGGGGTCAAATAAATAATTGTCTAACTTATTATCAACATCAATACTTTTTGAAAAATAAAAAATAATGAGAAAATAACAAATATCATTTTTATAAAGCGTTCAAATAAAACGTAAATTATTAAAAAAATAACAAATTAAATTAATAATTAATTTTTTATTAGTATAGAAAAATATAAAAATATATGATCATTTTAAGAAATAACTCTTAATAAAAAAAAATCAACTCACCTCAACTTTACAAGTAAATAATAGTCGACTAGATGTCAGACTCATATATTACATAAGTTTATTTAAAAGGAAAATAAAATACAAAATTCTAAACATTTGAGAAGTATGAATTTATAAAAAAATGAAAAAATATTGAATTATAAAAATTAAAGTGTTTTTTTTTCTCTTTTAAATTTAAACAAATGATAAGAAAATTAATGAATCTTTAATTTAGTAATTTTGAAATTAGAAAAAAAAAAATCATTAATGAAACTGATATGTATTTATTGTTGCAGTTAAATACTATTTAGAATTTACTAAAATGAAAAAAAAAAAAAAATAACATGTAGAATAAAAATTAATTTAAAATAACCATAAAATTACATGTGGTAAAATAAATAAGAATATGACATGTGGAAAAATATTTTTATTTATAAGAAAGGATTAGTAAATTAGTGATTAAAATATATTTTATTTTTTTAACATTCTTAAACAATAATTTTTCATATCTCGCGTCATATTGTTGTTAATTAATGTTTTTTCTTAATCTGTGTGTTTTTTGTCTGTGAACAATAATATTAAGACGGAGGGAGTATATTCGATTAGAAAAATCCGAACTTGAACCCATCTTCTTTATACATTATACAACAAATACAGGGACTAATCGTAAATACCTTATATCTCAAAGGACTTAAAAGTACAAACTATTTTTTAAGTGTCATGTCGATTAATAATAGAATTTCCCGCTTCTCTTCTTCTTTACTTGAAACCCTTCGTACAAAAACCTGTAAATCACTTCACGCAAACAGAAAAACAAAAACCATTTTCATTTTCCCTGATCGTCTTCTTTCTACAATCGTTCGAAGGGTGCAAGAAAATGAATCGAAATCCAAGAAGAGACAAATTTGCGAAGGCCAAAATTGAAGAACCAAATCTAAATCTGCGTTTATCTACAGAGCTGTTTCTGAAACGTGATGATCATCCACTAAATGATCTCTGCTATATGAAAGTTTTCGGTAAGGATCTCATTATCATTACGAAACTGTATAATATCAGCGCCATTTCTTTTGTTTTTGTCATGTAATTTCCACGTTTAAGAATTTGATCGATGTTTTGTTCCTTTTTTGCTAAGGATTCTTGGAGAACTTCGTTCAATTCTCACAAGATTTCTGCTGCGGTGTGTTCTTGTTGTCTTTTTGTATCAGTAATCTGATTAAAATTATCTATCTTTTTTGATTTTATCATCAAGAAAGTTGTTAATTAGTTGTAATCAATGTTTTTACTTTTCTAATTTTCAAAATGAAGATAATACTCGGAAAGCTCACCAAGTAACTGAGACAGATGCTTCAGAGGCCAAACTTGATAGAAAAGTATATAGGATTCGTAATAAAGAAGTACGTGATCACATTCTACATTCCACATTCAACGTATCTCATATCTGTTACAAATATAGAAATCATTAAATTCGCTGAAAATTCTGTATATATTACTCTTTTTCACAGCTTGTTACAGTCTTTGGGGACGATTTTGAAGGGATGAAGGAGATTCAAAGAGTCTCAAAAGCCACAATTGGGATACTAGCGGATGCTGAATCCAATCTTCTCAGGCATTCGTTTCTGGACATTCTGGGTACTGCTGAAGAACTCATCCTAGATGAAACCCTAAAGGTTATTGAAAGAAACAAAAAAAAAACTATGATGAACTATTTTTCATTTGATACTTATATATACTTGCAAATATTGTGATTAATTCATCTTTTGTAGACATATAGTAGCTTGATTTTTCCCGTAATTCTGATGCCACCAATCATTTATGGAGACAACATCACCATCCCTGTCCACAAGGTGATTATAAATATACACTTAACTGAATCAAAAACAAGAAAATCATTAATGATCTGATCTTTATATGAAGGCTTCGTGTATATCGTATATGTTTATATAGGTTAATCATGTCCTTGGCAACTACAGCAGTAATCTGTTGAGGATGGAAATGGAGTCTGGTGCATGGATAAAGGTTTGTAAATTAATTATGATCTTAATTACTTAATTTTAAGGAACAAGTAAATTGCTATTATTATAACTTTGAATTTTCAGATTGAACCAGGTCTCTCTTCTATTGGTTCTGAATGGAGAGTAGTGAACGTATTTGGTCCACAGGAAAATATTGTTAAAGCAAAGTCGTTAATTGAGTCAGTAATCTGTGAGGTGAAGTTAACTTATTAATTAAAAAACTTGATAGGTTGATGTATGTAGAATTAATTGCATGGGCTTAATTTATATGGGATTTTGTTCTTTCTTTGAGTTTGATCATGCATGCAGCATGAGGAATTATATAGTGATGAAGCGTTGAATGAAATGATGCACCAGTTTAAAGAAGCTAGTTGTGTCGAATTAATTGATGGTAAGAAACTAAAAGGGAAGCAGCAGGCTGAGGAAGGTGGCTCCGGTGTATCGGAAAAAGAGGAGGAGGATGTGCATGAAGAAGATGAAAAAGAAGGTGATGAATGGAAAGAGAAAAGGCAGAAGGGTGTTGAAGAATCTGGTCCTACATTAATATTAGCGTCAGGGTGTTATGGATCGTATCTACACTGTGTGTCCCATGCATGGAAATGATATATACTATAGATATTGTGAAACAAGGCTCGAATCCAACTCGATCTGGTTATGTAATCATGAAGGAATGATTCGAATATGCATGGCTGATACAAAATGGTTAAGAAATCTTGTTTTGTGTCAATTTTGCACAGCCCCGTTTAAACAAGGGATGAGAATATTAGTGAGTTGTTGTATTGAATTGATGTACAAAAGGTACGTGTCCATATACTTCCTTTTATTTGGAAAAAATGTAAAGATTATGTCAAATTTGGTAGGTGGACATTCTTATATGTGTTTAAGATGGACATCCATAGTATTTTAGATTAAACCAAATCATACGGTTATAAGAAAGTGTAACATGGAATTTGAGAAAACAAAAAGGAAGTGAATAAAGACAAACATTAACAATAACAGAAAAAAAAAAAAAAATACCAGATCAACAACAGTTTTAACAAATTATAAGGACGTGTAACATGGAAATCGAGTATAAAAAAATAGCTAAAAAAAGCCAAAACACCTAACAATATCATCGAAGATGTGATTATTACTTTTGTTGGTCTTTGTAATTTTCCGGAAAGTACAAAAAACTGGATTGGTTTTTCCATAACAAGTTCAACTAAAAACGAATCACCGGTTGAATATAGGTTTTTAAGAAAGTGTGAATCAGTTTTTTACCATGATTTTTCCGATTTTCGTAACCGAAAATACCCGTTTTTTTAACTTACTTTCACTATTAAAAAAAAAAAAAAAAATCAACCAGGTAATTAGGTTTTAACCGAAAGCGAAATTAAAAATAACCGGTTATTTTAAAAATAGAAACCGGTTTTAACCAGCCTTAGTGCACCTATCTATTCTCCACTCTCGGTTCATTGGTAGTCGACAAGCTATCACATCGGCTAGAATATGTCGGCGGTTTAAATTTTGATTCTTGTTAGTGGTCTTCCCCTTCTTTGTCGGTTCTACCCATCTCCTTGCATTTTGCGTTTCTCTGCAACTAGCGACAAGTACTTCTCTAGTATCCATCCTTCTCATGTTCTTCGATCACTCGTCTTGAAAGGTGGCCAAAAGTTTGAAAAGATTTCTTTGTCTAAGAAATGAAAAATGAGAGAAGCTAATTTGGAATGTTATTCAAACCATAAGTCTTCTTCTTATACTTTTCATTTATCTTTCTCTCATTTTGCGTATCACGTCGCTCCCATATCACATAACTTTCATATTATTTCCTTCTCAATCCTTCATTTATTCTTATTTTTTTCCTTCTATCATATTTCTTCACACTTAAGATTATAACTTTTATCATATTTAATAAAATTAATAAATTTTTTTTACATTTGTCATTATCTAAAAGTGGTAGGAGAATAAGTATGAGGGAAAAATAGATGGATATTTTTTTTCTATTTATTCTCCCTTTTCACCTATTTGTTTATCTTTTAATATAAGTTCTTGGCAACTAAAGCAGTAACCTCTTGAGGATGGAAATGGAGTCTGGTGCATGGATAAAGGCAGGGGCGAAGCCAGGATTTGCGGATAGGGAGGGATTATATTAATATCCGACAAAGATCTTGGATGATAGTGAAAAAATTAGAAATAAAAATGATTAAGAAAAAAAATCATATAAAAAGGAGTTAAATACTATATTTTTTAATTAAACCACTAGAATAAAAAGAAAATAGTAACCTAATATACCCATAAATCGGCAATTAAAAGAGCTATTAATGACATAAACTAAAATAAATGTGGAATTTTAGTTGTGTACTTCAATTTTAGTCACAGTAGAGCCTTATTATTTTTCTTTATAATAATTGAAATTTTAAAAGGTCGAGGAGGGCTTAGCAACAAAAAACCAACATGGGCTTCAAATTAGTGATAGGTTCATTATTAACATGCATATTTTAAGGAATAAGTAAATTGTTATTATTATAACTTTGAATTTTCAGATTGAATCAGGTCTCTTTTGTCTTGGTTCTGAATGGAGAGTAGTGAACGTATTTGGTCCACAGGAAAATATATATAAAGCAAAGTCGTTAACTAAGTTAGTAATATGTGAGGTGATGTTAGTTTTTTTTAACTTATTAATTAAAAAGTTGATAGGTTGATGCATGTAGAATTACTTGGGTGAAGGCATGTGCTTAGGAGAATGTTCATCGGAAGAAGAGTCATTCGGTTGGGCTGGCCGACGTCGCTGGTAAGTATGCAAAGGTGAAGCGTATTTGTGATAAGATCAATGGGTAGTGACGAATCATTGATTGGATCTGTGATCAGATCCACATAATAGAATTTTGGTGGGTTATATGGATCATCTTCAGGGGTGAAATCAAGAGAGCACTTACTACGGTCGGTACGATTGAAGAACGGGGTAGTTTCAAAGAAAGTTACATCAACGCAAATGAGATGTTGTCCAAGATCAGAAGAGAAACATTTGTAACCTCTTTGTGTCCGAGAATAACCCAAAAAGATATATTTGAGAGACTTTGTGTGTAGTTTATCTTTTCCTGGTGTGAGATTATGGACAAACCATGTGCAACCAAAGACACGAGGTAGAAGGAAAACAGTGGTTGAGTATGAAATAATAAAGAATGAGGAATTTGTTTTTTTAACACTGAAGAAGGCATGTGATTAATTATGTAGCATGTTGTCAGAATGTCATCTCCCCGAAAACACAGTGGAACATTGTTATGAAGAAGGAGAGTACATGTTGTTTCCATCAGGTGTATAATTTTTCGTTCATCCACTCCATTTTGTTGTGGGGTATGTGCACATAAGGAGTGATGAAACATACCCTCTGAGGTCATGAATGACTAAAAGCGAGTTGAAAAATACTCTTTTGTGTTGTCACTTCGTAGGATACATATGGGGATACTGAATTGAGTTTTAATTTCAGAACAAAAAGACTTAATGATAGAAAATAATTTAGATCTATTTTTCATTAAGAATAACCAGGTACACCTTGAGTAATCATCAATGAAGGTGACAAAATAATTAAAACACAAATGTGATGTAACACGACTAGGAACCACACATCCGAATGAACTAAAGTAAAAGGAGATTCATATTGTTTATTGACTCGACTAGGAAAGGACTTACAAATATGCTTTCCCAACTGACATGACTCTCACTCTAATGAAGACAACTTTGCAAATAATGGGTACCAATTTTTGTAACTTTGAAAGACTAGGATGTCCCAAACAATGATGAATAATGGCAGAAGAATCGATTGTAATACATGTTGTGGGTGAAGATGGTGGTGTGAGGTAGTATAGCCCATGGCACTCACGTCCTACACCAATCATCCTCCCAATGTTTTGATCATGTACAAGAAACAAATCATCCAAAAAGATAACTTTAAATGGTGGGGTTTTAGCTATTTTACAAACAGAAATAAGGTTGAATGGAAAACCATGTACAAAAAGGACATCAAGAGATAATGAAGGCATAGGTTGTACTTGTCCAATGCTCGTAGCTTTAGTTTGTGAGCCATTAAACATGGTAATATGGGAAAATGTATTTGAGTATGTAATCTTAGATAATAAATTTGTGTTATCAGACACATGTTTAGTAGAACCAAAATCAATCACCCAAGGACCCATCGGGGATGATTGAGATACACAAGCAACAGGAGATTGGTTATCTTCTCGTAGTTTTAGGAGTTCTGCATAGTCAGCAGCAGAGATAAACACATTGCAACATTAGGTTCCCTCATTATGTGCAACATTGGCTATCTTAGGTGATTTAAGTTGAATGCATCGATCAACTATATGGCCAATCTTATTGCAATGACTGCATCGGGGTCGGTTTCTATTCCCGCGACCACGGTTGCCTCCCTCCTTAGATGCAACAAGAATTGCAGAAACAGTAATGTTGGAACCAGTAGTGATGTTTGTTGGTGGTAAAATACGAAGTAGTTGCTCAAACACATTATCAAGATTTAGAACTCCTGGAGTAGCTAAGATTTGGTTACGAACAGAATCAAGATCTAGATGCAATCCTGCAAGTGCAAGAACCACAAAGAATTTTCCACGTTATTCATCTTGCAATTCGAGATTGGTAGAGGATGGCATCAGCTCATTGAACTCTTGTCAGATAGTCTCTATGTTCCCAAGATAGGTCTTCATATCTTGTTCTTGCTCGATTTTCTTCATATTAGAGACTATTGTGTATAAACAATTGATATCGTTCAAGTAAAGTTTCTTTGCTTTCTGCCAAACCTCATAGCAAGAGCGATACGATCGGTGTCAAGCAACAATCGTTCGGTCTATAGAATTCCAGAGGGCATTACAAAGGAAGGCATCAGTCTCATTCCACTTGGGTTGGTCTTTGACATCAATGTTTTTCAGTATCTTTGTCAAGTGATCATCAAGACCTTGACTTATAAACCACAACTCCACAGTAGATGACCAAGTCATATAATTAAACCTGTCAATTTTTCAGCAGAGAGAACTAGAGAGGAAGAAAGATTGAACATGTTGTATGTTCCATACATTGTTTAATAAACATAATAAAAGAATGCTTGTAATAGGAGTATGATAACTGAGAAAAAAACTTATCAACAGAGACGAAAGGATCTGGAGAGTGATGGTCAAGGTTTGGTACAAAACACAGGAACCCTAAAGAACTGGAAATAAAAAAATAATAAAAAAAAGGAACACATCAGGAATATTAATGCTGCTCTGATACCATGTGAAAGATTGTAATCTATATTTTACACAAAATAAAGATGTATAGGGCCTTAATTTATACTAGAGTCTATCTTATTAATCTAGGCAACTATGTAATCGTGGAAATTATACACCTTGATTTACTCCTAATTGACAACTTAAATTACAGCTAATTTACAACCGATTTTCAACATAATCCATTCCTTCAAACTATCACATTATAAAGAAAATGAACAAGAACCCTAGATCTAGAAGCACAAACTAGAAAGCTTGGTACTTGAATACTCACAAGGGTACAATATATATGTTCAAGATGGTGATGATGAAGTTTGCTTGCTAGATTAATGCACCAAAACACCTTCTTTTTCTTCTTCAAGGCACCAAGAATATCAAAACTCTCTAACGAGGCTAGGGTTTGAGGTACATGGTTGGAGGCTAAAGAGGATGTCCTAATCCTCTGGAAATGTTGCTTAAATATGGGAGGAAACCCTAATATTACGGGATTGGGCCAGAATAGTTGCCACATCGTGGCCAACCTACTGTCACACCATGGCACTCATGATAAACATGCATTCCATTTAATCCATGCCACATCATGGGCATCCATGCACCAGATCGTGGCATAGAGTTTTTCCTAAAACTCCATCTTTGGTCTCTGATAAATAGTAAGCTAAACCAACTTGGAATACAGGTGTTACATGTTGATTAAGATATCCCCATTTTGCAACTTCTTTAGCTTGTTATTGCTTTTCATCTACAAAAACTAAATGTTGAATAAGCTAATGTCTTCCTTTTTAGTTTGACTTCTTGTAATATATACATACGACATAACATACTAGTGTCGATAACAAATCCATCTTAACTTACTTGGTTGCACACATAGAGCATATAGTCGATAAATGAACATGCAATAGATAGGGATATATTGATATTAATCGGTTACATAGTAGGTTAGTTAATTGAGTTTGATCTTAAGGAAATTACACAGCCTCCTTGTCTTGCTAAGGGCATTTATAATGCATAGAACTCTATAATTTGATAGATTATGACATTAGAATTCCACTTTTTTTAGTTGTGGGAAAGTTGAGTAGGTATATGAGTAAGTACTAAGTACTAACATTTGCTAGCAATATAAAGAGTATTTATATAATGAAAGGGAACCATGAACCACGGTTTAATTTATCTTGGATGTCCTTCATTTTTAATAGGATATTTTGATGCAAGTTGGATATACTACATGGACAATCATTGCTCTACGAGTGGTTAAATATTCTTGTGTAGGAGAGGAGTCATTTCTTGGGCATTTAGGAAACAAATCTGCATTACTAATTCAACTGTGGAAGTTGAGTTTGTTGCGTTATTCCCTGCTAGTAAACCAATGTGGATTTTATCTCCATGTATTCAAATGGGAAGGGGTTGACAGCTTCAATCCTTATGACATCCCGATTCTCGGATATTTGGAAAATATAGAACACTATTAGTGAACATTCAATTGATTCAATATTTTCATTTATGCATGATTTGAGTTGTTTATTTTGCTTGTATTAAGCAAAGAATTACATTAAAATAGGAGAGGGGAGGATTGTTGGTGATCACATGTCATTTTGAGTGTAATATGAATTTATACTAGTTTCAAAAGGAACCAAAGTAAGTAATACAATTTAGGTGGTGAAAATGCACACTTGTATAAAGCAAGCTTGATCATGAACACCCTGAATTTTATAGGGTCATAGGTGTTGTAACCCCTTGCAAGGTCAAAGGATCAGAGCCCCAAAACTTTTGCAGAATACCGAAGCAGTATCTATGAATATAAATAGAAGATAAACTCCAGTTTTGAAATTAAAGCATGATATATAGAAGTTCAGAAAAATTGAACATTTTTATGAATTATGGGGAATGGGAAGGAAGCATCATGTAGTTTAAATTATGTAGGATTAACATAATACGATATAGCTTTACAATTACTACTAGTATATAATATCATCACAGAATTTACATTTAACACACATACACTGATACATATAATCAGCTGCCTGTAGTCCCACTCCAAGTGTTTCCACTTGAAAGAAATCACAAACCATTTTCTGCAACAATTTCACATGTATTATTCTAACAATGGAACAAAAGGAATACAAAATGTCACAATAATGAACAAAAACATGGTTACTATTTAATTACATTATCCCCATCTCTAAATTCCCACATCAGTTTGTAGGGAAAAATGCAAGAAAAGCAATGTACTTTTATTTATTTGTTTTTTTATAGCATCCTACATTCATTTCCTCTTCAAAAATCTACCCACTTAAAGCATAGTCATCTAAATTCAGAGCATTTTACAAATGTCCTAATAAGAAACTAAAATTGAAAGTACAATTCTATAATTGGTTGGATTTTTCAAAAACTGAAAGTATAATGCTGTAAATAGAAATAAAAAGAAGATATAACTTGAAGTACCTTGCTATTTCTTGCCTTTAGCCTTCAATTGTATGACCAAATTAGGCAAAACGAACCTCCCTCTCCCACCTAAGATCTTCAGAAAACTCCATGACCGCACCTCTGGGATCACCATTTGATAAAGACAAGTAGTACTGGGCAGTACCATCATCAACCTGCATGCTTCTCCTCAATGAGTCGATTATCCTTCTTTTTCCTTGCTCAGAGGTCACGTTATTCAACACACCAGTCACCTTTCTCTCAGGTTTACCTTCCAGATACAAAACTGCCACTTCCCTCTTAGCATGAGCATCCAATTCTATATAGCATGTGCCATTGATGAGAAGGCTTGGCGAGCTTACAGGGATTAACAATCGGTCCCTTGAGTGTATCCCGTGGTCGCTCATCATGTTGTTCAAGCGTTTAATGTCCATAACCTACACAAGAAACAGAGTTAATCATCACATCAACGAAGAACAAATAGATTGAAAATTCCGATTAGCATCATGTAGCAATTCGACTGAGATAAAATCGGATTCCACACTACACATGGGGTGACAGATAAGAAACGGGGTGAATTTCCATTCTCAAATTACAATCAATTCTTCATCCCTGATTATCTATCACACATAGATTGAGGAATCTGATGAACAAATAGATTGAAATTTAATAAGACAGACGCAGACAGGGATTGAGGAAAACCTGAACGGAGTACTTGACAGCGAGGCTAGCAACAGTGTCACTGCGAACCAACCGATGTGAAATAGCGAAACGGCTAAGTCTATTATCTCTCCAGAAGCTACCGGAGCTAGGATTCCCGATCACGCCCTTCAGTTTCCACGGCGCCTTGAAAGCCCTAACCTGAATATCTCGATCAGAAGCTACTGAACTCCACAACCTGCATACACACGCCGACCTTGCTAGATCTACCACCGGAAGCTTTTCGAAGATCGTACGCAGGATATCTTTACAAATTAAAGCCGCAAAATTGGAATTCATCGGAGATATGGTGGTATATGAGTCATCGCCGGTAATTGACGACGCCATGGAAGAGGATGAGGAGTGTAGGGTTGGGGTTTGTTGTTGTTGAAGTGGTTGGAGGATGTCTTCCTCTTCTTCACCACAGCATCCCATTTTTAGAGAGAGAAAAGAAATGTGTCAAGCAGAGAGTTATGGTTGGTTTACGTGGATAAAACTTTACCATTTAAGAATTTGGGTAAAATACCAGACGAGTCCCTTAGCTACTGAATATTCCCATTTTGGTCCTTAATAAAAACATTATATTCTCAACCCTGAAATTAAAAACCCATTTAAACAAACGTATAGCAAAATATAATAGTTGATGATGCAAACTCTAGTCAATAGGGGTACCCTTTTTGAATTTAGATGTTATGGACCAAGGATAATCTTGGCAAAAAGTTTAGGGTTTGCCTAACTTTCTGGTAAGTAGGTTTTAATGTTTAAGTTAAATGTTTTTGTCGTCTGATTTTAATTGTGGTTTAAAGAATCTAAAGAAAAAAATGTAATTTTTAGGAATGAATGGATGAAGAATCAAACAAGAAGAAAACATGACATAGATGAAGTTAAAGCAAGCTCCTTTGACTTAATATTGCAATTCTAGAAAATGAGTTGAACATTTACAAGATAAATACTTGTTTTTAGTTTTTGAGCTTTAAAAAGAACTAATCAACTTAATAGAAATTATTTACTCACATAAACTTTAAGAGAGTTGAAGTCAGACTAGCGGACTCGGGCCAAATGACGCTTTATAGTGCACATCAATGATTAGGAACTGCGATTCATGTGTATTAGACAAAGTCTTAGTTGTCTTTTCTTGTAAGATGGTTTTATTGTAAGTTAGAAAGATGGTTTGAATCTGACTTAATGTAATAGATCCTAATTTTCACATGAATTTGGATAATATTTATCTAAATATCAATAAGTTGAGTGGTTAAAGTTATACAAAATGTATACGTAATAAGACCTAATGCTCATGTAAGTTTGTTTTCTTGCAATGTTACCAGATAAATCTCAAATTCTTGATAAAAATATTGATTTTTGAACAATTTTGAGACTTTATTGATATAATAAGCTAAAAAATAATGTTTTTTTAACAAACCTAAAAGTTTCTTACCATCCTAAATCGTTTTCCCAAAAAAAAAAAGACCTAAAAAGAGTCATTGCCCTTGTCCCTATATGAATTCATTATTATAAATTGTAAAAACGCTTAAAAAGCCAAAAATAGCATAGTCATTTTCGTTTGTTATTTTAAATAAATCTTTATTATGTGAAAATAGTGAAGGTAGCAACTATGGCTATATGATGTTTATGAATAGTATCAAATTTAGTTTGATCACCGAAGAAAACATTTCATCTTACATATTTACTGATAAATAATAAAAGTAACATTTACTGATAAATAATAAAAGTAACATGACTTTACCATCCTGTGAAAAAGAATTAGAGTCAAACTTATCTTAAATGACTAACACTTATTTTATCCTTTTAAGCTATTTTTAAAATCTATATTAACATATAAATGCATAGCCTAATTTCATACACATCTATAATAAAAGTAGAGTAAATGACACAAAAACACTTTTTTAACACAGAAATTTGATTTTGACACCGTGTTATTTTTTGTGTCAATTTTGACACCGTGTTTCTCAATTTGTTACAATTCTGACCACTTGACTGGTTAACCATGTTACATACTGACGTGGCATGATGACGTGTCAATTTTGATGACGTGGCATGTTGACATTATATGCTGACGTGTCAAAATTGAATTTTTTTCTTACAAAAAATACTAAGTTTTCATTTTTTTTCGATTTTGACACTAAGTTTAATTTTTTCTTTCAGCTTTGACACTATTTTTTTTATTCCAAATCGAACATCATTTTTTTTCAATTTTGTTCAATGTTGATAATTTTCTATTTGAAACCATATAAATATTTTTTTTAATACATTTAAACCTTATAAATATGTTTTTTTTTAACTTAAAAATCATAGTTTTGTATAAATACATTTTTTACACTCAAACCATATTTTTATATATAAATATGTATTAGTTATATAAAAATTGTATTTTATATTAAATATGCAACTTTAAAATGCGTTTGAAGGTTTGGAGGCATGTAGTCGATCAAAACTCAAATATCAAGTTTGCAACCATCAAATTTTTACATCTTACTAGAAACTTATGGTTAGTTTGATTCTCATTATATAACTAATGATTTGAATGTAAGAAAAAAAACACCTTGTATTTAAATAAAAATGTGGTCTTTAAATGAAAAAAAAAAATATGTTTATACGGTTTAAAATGTAATAAAAAAATATATTTATATGGTTTCAAATGGAAAATAGACAAAATTGAACAAAATTTGATATATGATGTCCGATTGGAACAAAAAAACATAGTGTCAAAATTGAAATAAAAAATTAAACTTAGTGTCAAAATCAAAAAAATAATAATAATAATAAAGTGAAATATTAGTGTTTTTTGTGGAAAAAAAATCAATTTTGACACGTCAGCATATAATGTCAGCATGCCACGTCATCAAAACTGACACATCATCATGTCACATCAGCATGTAACCTGGTTAACCGGTCAAGTGGTCAGAATTGTAACAAATTGAAAAACACAGTGTCAAAATTGACAAAAAAAAACACGGTGTCAAAATCGAATTTCTGTGTAAAAAGAGTGTTTTTTGTACCATTTACCCATAAAAGTAACGTGACTTTAAAAATCAAAGGATATGTAAGGGAGGTAAATGAAATAATTAATGTCTGATTTAAAAGGATTGACATAGGAAATCAAATTGTATTCAAAATGAAAAACAATGACGGATATTCCACCGGATTTATTGCCTAAAATCCATTAAAATCACATTAGTAGATAATCAATTTGACAAGTAATAAATGATTAGAAAATAACTTTCGTGATTTTTTATAATAACATAACATTTTCTAATAACTAATTGGTTATTTTAGGGGAAGAAAAAAAATCATTCTTTATTTTAAGAGATTTACCGATTACTGTTTATAATAGTTATAATGGAAAATTTTCAAATTTTTATAGGAAAAATTACATGGCAGAAAAATTGAAGGAAGAGGCTCTCAGAACGACACGTGATCAAAACTATTCTTTTATTATAATAGATAGAGGTAGATACTTTTCCTCCATATTTTGTTTGTTTGTAAGAGACAATATCTTTCATCTTCTAGCAAATCTCTTATTAATATCAGCACAAATGACAAATACTGAAATACCACACGTATGCATGACGTGATCAATTCATGGCTGACGAAAAAAAAGGAGAAATTTATATAGAAGTGCAAAACATCCAAAGCATCTAAAATTGGATTTATGAAATTGAAAATGTAATATAAATATAAAATCATAATATTCCAAAAAGTGAAGTACGAATCTTGGATTAGATTAGTCCCTAGCCTAAAACTCCCGGCATACATGCTAAAACCTTGACTAGTTACATGGTCCCACAAAAAACATGCCGATGCCAGTTTCAAAAGTTGAGTAATAAATGCAAAGAAAAGTGATCTGTTTATAATTAATTTATTATAGTTCTTCTTTCTGTGATGATGTTTCATCGTTGTTGGTTTTTCCCGAGAAAATCGAACCAAACATTTCGGTTATTTTACTCGTATATGACTTACATTCCGGCTCTTGCACCTTTGCGTTGCACAGGTCCTCGTAACTGTGCTTCAAATGTGGCGCCGCTATTTTCTCCTGTTGGGACAAATTAAAGACATACAAATGTGGCTCAATTTAGGACGAAACAAGTGTTTGGCATTTATCAGACTGAGACTGATGTCAATATGACAAAAATATATATATACAACTTTTTGTCCCACCTAAAAAAGATGGGACAGGAAGTCGCTTTCAATATATCGTATGTGCAAATGACGTAAATGCCCTCGTTAACCTGATCATCGAAAAGAAACCCTAGAAACTAAAAGGAAATATATTTACCTTGAAAACTTCAAATGGACAGAAATCGGTACCCCCGCATCCCTGTGTATAAAAGATATATGGGTTTAAATGTTTGTTTATATAATCTTTTGCAACAATGTGGTTTTTTAGATGAAGTATGCAAACCATGATTAAGGAGCTGTTTTTTTTTTAAATTAATGAGCTTATATACGACTGTTACTTTTTTACTTAATCTGGACAGAATGACTTAATGGTTTAGCCAAAAAAAAAGAACCTGGATCAAATATATTAAGACAGTATTAACCTATTTGCACTTTTTTTTTTTTCTGTAAACTCATCTCACATAAAAACTGTTAAGAAATTTGAAGCTGATCCAAATATAGAAAAGATGAAGGAAAGACTTACAGCCATTGGGATTGGTTGTTCATTGTGTAAAACTTGCATGAAATATTTATTTGTGTTATTTCCGGAACAGCTGTATAAAACTAAAACATTATTCCCAGCAAAAGGAGCCACTCTGCTTCCCCTCCATGTTCTTTTCTCTGGGGGTTTCGGGGGGTATTTCAACGGCTCTTCTCTTTGTATTTGTTCAAACTCTGGATATAATAACAAACAATTAATTTAATTATATATATATATATATATATATATATATATATATATATATATATATATATATATATATATATAAAATACAGATAAAATAACTAACAAATACTCACCAGATCCTTCAAGAAAGAGCCCAATCAAACATGAAAAAGGAACCAATGTCTCTGCATGTGCAAACCTTAATGTTGCCTTTTCATAATTCCCTGGTGCATACCCTTCTATAAACAATAAATTAATAACAACATAAACTGTGTGTTCATAATTCATAATTCATAATTCATTATTCATATAAATAATAAATGATAGAATTTTCTAATTATTAGTGATTACCTTCTTTTGCTTTAATCGCCTGCTCCATGGACAATATTACATCCTGCAGCAATGGCACTCCCATTCGATAATTTAATGCATTTCCATAACCCTTTACTATGAACATTTCCAGATCATCTGTCCACTCTAATAGACTCACCTATATAAAAAAAAAAAAAAAAAAAAAAACAAATTTTTGAGTATATAGGATTTGACAAAAATAGCATCCTACTATAGTTTCTGCAAAATAATTAATTGTGTGAATATGAGTACAGATGTACCTCATCATTAGTGAAAAGACCACAAGCTTGATCAGTTATGTCTAACAAGGATGCTTCCTGGAATTTAGTACAAGAAAAGATTTATTAATTAAATATAAAAAATGATTTCCACAGTTGAAAGTTGAAACCCATCACATGTTATTACCTGCTTGC